TTGATGTTGGGAAATGTCTGGTATTTCTTAGGCAAAAAAACGTGTAAAAGATGGATGAACTTGTTGCTCTGAATTTCAGGCTCTTTTTGGCTTGGTCCTTCAGCAATATTAGGTGCATTTCACTGGGGAAGAGCACATAGGAGCTCATAGATGTGCAGCTGGTTATAGCTCACCTGTGTGTGGCCAGCAGGCAGTAGAGGTGTGAATGAGATTTATTTTGTTTGTTTTGTTTTAAATTAAATCTGATAGTAACATGTAAATTGAATTAGTTTTATGTGAAGGCTTGTAAATTGTTGATCCCTATAACACTGTTCCTAAAACTGTATTTCCCTGCTGTTTGAAATGCATACTTCTAGGAATTTTATTCATATGTCCATTTGGTCTACTCCTGGTGGTTCAGGCTTGCAGGAGGACTTGTACCCCAATCAGGAGGATGGCACCCCAGGATATATGGGGTGGGGGGATGTTCCCTATACTCTGTTGCAGGCTGCAGAGAGTACTTTGCCCTTATTTGAACCATGACTTTCCTCTTTTCTAAATTGGTAAATAGGAAACAGTATTAAATTCTGAAAGAAAACAGAAAGTAATCCCAAACCCTCTGAATGGTTTAAAAAAACTGACTGAAGACTTAATACCAGTTTTTATCCTTTTCCATTGCAAACAGAAAAGATAAGAGATAATTGAATGCAGTTTAAATAACCTTTGTGAAGGCTGGAGCTCAGAAGAAAGATTAAAAATGGGTTTATGCTGTTTCTTTGTCCTTAGTGTTGAAACTGTAAGTGGTTGCTTATTGTGAAATATGTAGTAACCCCTAGCTTAAAATCTAACCGCTTAAATTTGTAAATGCAGTTCAGGTACCCATATTGTCCTCTGCCTTGCAGATTCTGTAGTTTGGATCACCTTGTAGCACCAACTGCTATACCAGAAACATTTATGCAAAATATAAATGACCTGCATATCTAAAGGTGTGGGTACATGTGTAAACTCTTGCAAGGCAAGCTAAGCTCCAAGTTTGCATCATCAGCAGCTTCCACTCGATCTAACTTCAGTTAATAGGAAAGCTTACCCATCTCTCACCGAAGGGTAAATTGCTGGCTTGTGCTCACTGAAGGGTAAAAGTGAACACACTTGTACAGCAGAGCAGCTAACAAGACATAAATTAACATGCTGGTTTATCTTGCAGTAATTTGTTCTGCAACCATAGCCTGATGATGCACAAGGCAGTGAAGCCACTAGTGTGTTTACATGCCCTTCTATCTGTGACAATGTTGTGTCTGTCTGTGCTGCCACTGAGCTGTCAGTGGACTGATGTCAGGGTTTAAACGGTACCTTTTCTGGTGCTCAGAAGAACAATGGTGCTAAAGCAATCCTTAAATTGGCTTCAGAGCTCTGTTTCCAAAATACATCAATTTGCATAAAAATAAATGGCAGCATAAATTAAAAACCTTGCTTGTCTTTTTGATGCCTTTTGTAGGTGCTTGTATGGTGCTTTGGGAACTGATCTAATATTTAGTGTCATGTTGTAATCTCTTGGATTGCAGAAGTAGTGGAGGGTTCTCATGAGTGGATGGTTTTGTTTAGTTTTGTTGGGGTTTGTTTTGTGGTTGTTTTCTTTTTCTCCAGTGGGCATGACCATTCAGATATTGAGCTGTCTGCAGTAAGCCACCTAGTAGAGATAACCTTGAAATGTAACCGGACTCCAAGTAGCACTGTTCCGCTTTTCTCCAAAACATCTCAGTGCTTTCAGCCTTCCTTAGTGGCCTGTCTCTGTTGTAATGTTATGTTTTGTCATTAATTAGATTTTGAGTTCCCCATCTTGGCTTTTCACCAGGTTTGTCTTCAAATACTGTTTCTCTGCTGACCTCTTTCTCTGGGCCCAAACTGGATTTATAAAGTGAGAAGGAAATAGTGATTTTCATGGTTTAGTTTGGTTTTTTTCATGGGGGATTTAAAAACATTTTTAATTACAGGAGAAAAACCAGTTGCTAAATATAAAAATATCAGAGACAGATAACTTTTAGCCTAGATAAACTCAAGAGAGAGTCTGAAACTTTTTACAGTATCAGTGATGCAATCAGTTTAGTAGAAATACACTGCTAGCTTGTTGCAGCCTAGGCTGGTGTCTGTCAGTGTGTTGGTGAGCAGTGCTGTGCTTGTATGGAACTGTCAAGTGCCTTGCAAGGAATTCAAGTAGAAAATGCTCACTCATCTTTCTTTAGAGCTCCTTTGCAGGGGTTTTGAGCTCCACACAAAATCAGTAGAAATTTCAGCGCTTAATTGTAGCAATTTATGTGCTTCTCTCCTGAATCCTCAAATATGCAGCCTGTGTAAATTGTTCTGCTGAACACACTCCCATAAGATGACAGTTTCAGTTTTATTGGGCTGCCATGCATGTTACCAGCAAATTAGGTGTTCGTAGGACAAACTGTTTGGCAACCTACTCCTAAGAGTGACATTTCAGAAAACCAAAGTTTGGTAATTGGAGAGAGCTTGCTGGTTGTCTGACCAGAAATTAATTTTGCTATTTGTCAGCATTTCTGTCAAATAGAATAAGCTATTTTTAAACTGCTTGTTGCCAACATGACCTCAAAATTAGAACATGTAGGAAAATGTTTTCTTTTTTTTTAGTGAAAGGGAAGTACTTTGGGCAAAATGCCACTTCACTCTCTCATAGGAAGTGTAGTTGAGGAACTCTTATTCTCCCCTGTAGATTGAGATTCCTGGTCAGGCATCAGTCTCATGGGCAAAAGCAATGCCCAGGAGGGAGAAGTCCAACAGAATGCTCACATAAGCTAATGTTATGATAAGGCAATTAGACTGTGGTTTCACAAGTGGTACAGTGGCTTCATGCTGTTCTCAGTTCTGCTTTTGCTGTTCACTGAAGCTTTTGAGATTCAGTTACCTTGAAAACTTCAAATCCTGCACATAAGCCTTACCTCATGTAATTGTGTCAGTTTTAAGAGTGTGTTGCCCCTTTTGACAGAATGGAGAATCTGTGCCCATTTCTCACTCACCAGAGTGCAAGGTGAGGTGGCTGTGCTGTAAGCTCTGTCCTGAGCAGGCTCCTGCGCTTTTCACTGGAGCAGCGGGAGCAGCAGTTTTGCTCATTGTGCTGTGGCACTGTCAGTCTGTAGCAGGGGCAAGAGTGGGTGTCTGGCCTTGTGAACTGAGGGGCCATGTAGAGATTTGCTGCAGTACATGTCACCTGCCCAAGGTGATCAAATGGTCTTCCTTGAAATTGTGTTTCTTTTAGGCTGAGCGGTGCACAGACTTCTCTGTCTGCAGTCTGTAAAGCAAAATATGTAATTAATACTGCTGTAATGCCTCCCTAAGCCTTAGTGGAGAGTAGAAGCCTTACAACTCCTCTTAAAACTTTGAGAATTGCTTTTGCACATTCCGGGATTTTGGAATAGCTTTTAGCTTGTAAAATATACTGTGTTTATAGAGGAATGTTGTGGTTTAACCCCAGACAGCAACTAAGCCCCACAGAGCTGCTTGCTCACTCTCCCAGTGGGATGGGGGAGAGAATCAGAAGAGCAGAAGTGATAAACCTCATGGGTTGAGATAAAGACAGTTTAATAGGTAAGGCAAAAGCCATACACACAAGCAAAGCAAAGCAAGGAATGAATTCACTGCTTCCCATGGGCAGGCAGGTGTTCAGCCATCTCCAGGAAAGCAAGGCTCCATCACACAAAATGGTTACTTGGGAAGACAAATGCCACCACTCTGAATGTGTCTCCTTCCTCCTGCTTCCCTCAGCTTTACATGCTGAGCATGATGCTGTATGGTGTGGGGTATCCCTGTGGTCAGTTGGGATCAGCTGTCCCAGTTGTGTCTGCTCAAAACTTTTTGTGCCTCTCCAGCCACTCACTGGTGGGGTGGAGTGAGAAGCAGAAAAGACCTTGACTTAGTGTAGACTCCTTAGCAACAACTAAAACAGGAGTGTGTTATCAACATAATTCCCAGCCAAAATCCAAAACATAGCCCTGTACCAGTTACTAGGAATAAAATTAAAGAAGCTTTAATTGAAAGACTCCCTATTGATGCCCATAAATGTTTATATTCTGTAGTTGAGTTAATCTAATGGGAGATAAGCATACGTAGTCCTGTGAGATTTTGTTGCCTTGCATTGTGCAGCACCTTTTTTAAAAATCAAAATGTGATGTCATGGTTGTAAGAAGGCATCTGTTTCTGGAAAGAAGAGCAAACTTTCAGCATGTTTTCCATATGTCCACATTGTATCCCATATGATTTTACTTCTGAAGCTGAATATTGAGTCTTTTTATTAATAGTAATTTCTCCAGTAACTTCTTTGCTAATTTTAGTTTGAATCTAGTGAAGGTGAGCATGTCTAAATTATAGATTGGCTTGTATAGAGAATAGTGTATTAAAAGCTTCTAATTCTAGGCTGTGGAAGGGTAATTATAGAACTGTCTTCCCCCTTTAAAGAAGAGCCTTTCTCATTTAAACATAAAAACTTCTACCAGCAGACTAAGCAAGGACTGGACTGTTCCTTCAGCAAAAGCATGAACCTGTCACTTGTACCTAAAGAACAGCACAAGCATGTGATTTTAGGAGCAGTTTTAGAGCTGTAAATCCTTGCCTTGCATGGGTGTCCTGGAAGCTTGTGCTCCTCATGTTCTGCCTGGTTGCTTTAGGAAGGTGTTTAATTTGGGAGAGGCAGTATTTCATGCACATCATTCTTCAGAGCTTATCCATCCGCTCTTTTAGGTAACCTTATGCTTCTAGTAATAGTTATTCCTGGGTCTAATGCTTCATTTACTTTGGGAATAATGTGCATTTGTGGTTTCTGCTTTGAAGTGAATCTTTGTCTTTCTCTGAGTCTGTGTCCAAAATACTTTCCTTTGACAGGTAATTCCGTTCATCTTTGCAAAAGCTCAGATTTTTCACAGGATATTTGTCATGATAGCAGTTGACCCAAAGTGGCTAAAGGTGTGTTTGGTACCTATTGGCAATATTCTTTTTATTCTTCTTCTAGGACGTGAAAATCTGAGAAATGAACAAATTACGGCAGAGCTTTAGGAGAAAGAAAGATGTCTATGTCCCAGAGGCCAGTAGGCCTCATCAGTGGCAGACTGATGAAGAAGGTGTTCGTACTGGCAAGTGTAGCTTTCCTGTTAAGGTAAGAGTTTCTGCCTTTCTTTTGGATGTCCTTGAGGTACTCTTGCCATGAGTTATTATTTGGGGTTTTTTTTGGCAAGCATAAGCCAGCGACATTCTTCATTACACACTGACCTAATTTTACAGTCAGCTCTCATTGCAAAGGATGTGGCTTTTTTCTTAAAACCAGATGATTCATGTAACAAATGCCTTGGAAAATCAGTCTGAGATATCCTGCGTTATTATCTAGTTGAAATAAATCATGTAGCTAGGCACACAAGTAATGTGATATTTGTCTTCATTTTTCTGGAACAGTAGAAATGATAGTCCTCTTGGATTGCATGGAAATGTACTCAGTTCTCTCTGTTAAAAGTGTAGTTACAGTTACAGTCTGACTGGTGAGGTAAGTGGTGGGCTGCCCTCAGAAAGCAATCCTTCCTCCCTTTGATAAATGAAAACATTGCCATGTAACACCTGGGGTTTTGGCCAGTGCATGATGTTAGAAGCACTTGTGAACTTCTGAGAATACCTTCTGTACTACAATTTTGTGTGTGCAAATAATAGACTATTCATGCATGTTAATTGAAATTATATGTTGATTTTTGATAACTCATTCCAGATTATTGGAGTATTATAAATAGGTATTTTTGTTTCTGTCTCCAAGAAACATTTAAGAAACAATGTTATAATATTGAATATTGAAACTTAATAAATACCTGAACAAGTGTAAAAAGGTGTCTCATTGCATATGTTCCCTTGTAATCAAAAGCTTTCTTACTCAAGGTACACTAATACTGAATCTACAATAGACTGTAAGCAAATGACACTAGGGGAATGTTAATAGATTAAGTATCTATGTACAAGGCACACAGTCTGTGGTTCTGATGCCTAAGGACCTTTTATTAGTTTTTATCTGTATTATGCTGGAAGTAATTTTGTCTGATAATTAAACCTGATGTTGCTAGGTGGAACTCTTGAAACTGACGGTTTCATATTTATGTAAAGCTGTGAGTTTGTGCAGATCTATAGTAAATTTGAGGTAACTTTCACAGTAGGTTCATGCCCTGCTTTACCCTACCACGGTTGCTTATGTGTGCTTTTAGGTATGCTCAAGTATATATAGCAACTCTGGTTTGTTATGTTTGCTTATTTGTCTTTGTTTTGTGTTACTTTTCTGCTGAAATGAAGGAACTGTAATTCAGTACTAAACAAGGTTTTCTTTTGCCAAAGCTTTGAAAGTAGCTGCTCTGTGGAAGCTTAGACTTTGATTCACTGTCTAGGTGAGAACAGAGTTGTTTGAAGATGGTTATTTTTTCATAATTTAGGCATTATACAGATTGAAAAGCCAAGTGATCAATTTCTAGGCATTTAGTTTTACTCATACTCTTGAATCCTTTACTGGACACAAAGGGTGTGACACACTTGTCACTGTTTCAAGATTGACTTTTTTTAAACCCTCAGTCAGGACTTGCACTTCTAATTGCAAATGCTTCCTGTATTTAAATGAAGCATTTTTCTATTCTGGGCACATGGACTGAAAGTCAAAAAAAAAAGTTTGGGGCTATTCTGTGCTGAAAAGGCATTTTATCTTACTGAAAAGGCATTTTATCTTTCTTATTTGATTAGAACTTATAGTCCCAAATGCAGTGCCTTGAGATAGTCAAAGTGGAAATTTTTATTAGGCTTGAGATGCAAAGTGGGTGTTAACTAGTGCTGAATAGATACAGGCAGGAAGTATGTCATTGTGAGTGAACAAGATAAACCAGATGTAGAGTCATCGGTTTAGTGGGTGGTACTGTATTTTGCTCACAAAAAGAATAGAACTTTGTGCTATTGAAGGAGAGTATCCTGTTGCGCCATTCTAGTGTATTTTTTGGAAAGTCATGCATTCCGGGAAAAGTATGCAGTCTCCTATGTCCTTAAATATCTGATGGGGTGACTTTTCTTTCTGCTTCTCCTCAGTGGAGCAGAGTAAACTGAAATATTTGTGGAAAAAAAAAAAGGTTAACAAACAGGACTGCATTCAAATCTGAAACGTGGTGAAAATAACCTTAATTTTCTTCAAGTTCCTCAATGGGAATTCCAGAGAGGTCCATTGCTTGTAGTGTAACTGCCCAAACACAGTTTAATATGTTTTTGGAGGGGCTTGTCTGTCCTTATTCTTTATGATCTGCCTTGCTTACTCAGTAAAAAGTCTGTTATTCTTTGGAGCTCAAAGCACAACCAAGTGGCAAGACCAGAGTGTGGCTTTTGCAGGGATGATGAAGATTTTTAACTGTACTCAGGGAAGACCTGAGAATTTCTAACAAATGTTGCTGCAGCTGTCTTTAAGGTTCCCTGTCTGACAGTAAAATACATGAAACCAATGTAGTAGCAGCCATGTTGTGGACTTAGTTTCTTCTAAAGCCTCCTATTTTATTTAGGTAAGACTAACTTTTTTTTTTTTTTTTAGAGAGAGAGTAGACTAGTGCAAATTCATGGAGAACATTTGCTCTCAGTTTCTCTTGTAAAAGAAAAAGATCAAGATATGTCACTCTCTTAAGTTGCTTTGTTTTTTAACTTCTTGCCTTTGGGCATTTATATTTTGCCCAGGGCTGAGGTGTCTGTAGAGTGCTGGCCCAGATTTATCCTTTTTTTAGACATTGCAGAACATGTGGAAGCACTTTGAAAGTCATGTTGCAAATAGGATTTCATCCTGCCTCCAGGCTTCACTCTGTTAGTGTTGGACAGGTACTCCAGTAGCTGCTCTTTCATTGTGCTTTGAGGATGCTGTACTGTAAACAGATTTAATGTTATTCCAAGGTTTTCTGTGTTGACATGGTTCTTGAAGCTCTTCCTGCGCTATGTCCACAGCCGATCCTTATTGTTTAAAGTCCTTAAGTGTGCTGTTGGATTTTGAGCAAATCTGATGCATCTATGGATTGTCTTCATTTCGGTGGAGAAGATGCTCTGTGGAATGTATTAGCAAAATTCCTGTTACATTGTTGCTTTAAAATTCAGGGAAGTGGATTTGATGCACCATTGGTTCTCTCCAGTGCTGTGCTCATAAATTTGAAGGTGATGATAGTCACTGTTACCTTCAGGCAATAACACTCTTTTTAGTTTTTAGCAGTGTTTTTGCACCACTCAGTGTGGCTGTGTTGCATGTAACCAGCTACTGATCATATTATCTCAGTCATCTTAATGTGTGTAGATATATTTACAGATGGTTCTTCACCATGTTGGAGCTCTTAACCACACTTGAGGTGGTAACCTGACACATTCAAAACAGGACCATGGAATGACTACTGACTTCCATGTAGTAGGTTATTCTAACAGACATTACAGCTGTGCTTATCAGTGCTATAATTTATTTTAACACAATTTTATACATCGTATTTGCAAAAAATTCAGTCCATTGATGTACAGATTTTCAAACTTGCTTTCTTACTCCAGGCACTACCTCACTGAGAATGTGCAGCTGTTCTATGTTATAATAACTAGAATATTTGACACTAGGGCTTCTTTTGTCTGAAATGCCTTTTCAAATGTCCCTCTGGGTAAGTAGTTTTCATTCATACAAATGCATTTTTAGGTAACTGGCCTGTGAAATTTATATCAGAAAAATTAATCATTTCCCTGTACATAACAGAACTACACAAACCAAATATTTGCAAGTTCTGCATAGTTCTAACCAACCAGATGTGCTGAACAGTGTATGAACAGCTGATTGCTACCTGTGGTTCTAGAAGATGCAACAGTTGTGTTTAACTTGGGTAATTTAATTAGCTTTGTTCTTTCACTTTCATGGTTTTAGTGGTCAGTCGCTTTTGACCTTCATGTATTGAAGGCTAGTGTTGCCCATAGCCTGTAAGTTTGCTTGCATTTTTTTATTCCATTCATTACAACTGGAAGACTTTATAAAGATATCAGTGAAAAAAGCCTGGGTAGAAGAGTACCAAACCACATTTCTGTCTTTGAAGTCCAGGGTTGGCTGCTGAGTGCCTGGTATCATGCGTGTTAGCCTTTCCACTGAATCTTGATTTCTGCCTTAGTGTTTACAAATAAAAATTGTTTGGATCCAGTTGTACTTTCACACCCAAAAGAACTGACTTTTCAGAGTAAATACCCTTCAGCTGTTTCCTGTCTAGCCCTCACTTTGCTAAGAGATGTTTGGAAGACACCATTTTGCTCTGTATTCAAGCAGAAAAAGAAGAAAAGGGAACAACTGGCACTGAGTCCTGTAGAATATCATCACTGGAGCCTGTGAATGTCAGTTCTGATCCCTGCGGCCCCTGTGACCCAGGAGTGTGTTATGGCATTAGGCCAGACATGGCCCTGCTGAAACCACTAATAGTAATTGTAGGTGCCCAGTTGTGCTCTTTAGTTTTGGAATTTGCACTTTGAACTTTATTGCTTAATATCAAATAAATAAATCTCATATTTAAAAGAATATCTTATTTTTTATAAGTTTCTAAATACAGCTTGCATGCCATTCTGTTCCTCTGGATCAGAAAGACTGATGGTACCTGTGGTGCCAGCACAGGTGTCTGGGGCTTTTATTTTGTGTCTTAAATGCACTTCTAGTTTGAAATAATAGTAGCTATGAAAGAGTTTATCAGCATGTTGATACTGAAGTGCCTTTAAGGTAGGCATGTGATATTTTTGACTGTGAAAGCTTGAGATACTTGAATAGTCTTTGGAAACTATGTTAAGTATTTTTAAGAAGTTAATGTGACAAATCTGCAGATTTCTGAAATGTTGCACAGCCTTACACATTAAACACTAGGAATCTCTACCTCTTTAGGCATGAACTCTTGTTGGCAATGAACAAGAGCCATTCTTCTTGAATGCTAACCCTCAGCAAGCAGTGGTACATTTAAAAAATCCTGCAGCATTTAACATCACAGGAAAAAGGCTCGAAGATGGTTAATTATAAAGAATGGTGATTGCAGTGGAAGGTGTGACATTTGCCTCCAATATATTCCTGTGCATTTTTGTCATGATTAAAAAGAATGTAATGCAATTCCTATCTTTAAACTT